ACCGATTAGCATGAAAAGTTTCCTACAGATTGTATAGTCTTAGAGTGGTCTTCTAAATGATTCCTAGAATATGGAAATTGCATACTTTCTTTTAAGAGAGCTTGAATGGGTTGTTCTATGAAAGTATTCTTTTATCTTGCTGTTTCAGGAGAGTAAATGCAATGTCAAAAGAAAAGCAAGTAGTATTTCCAAACAGTTTTAGAATGCATATACCAGCTAATAGGTGTGATAACACTTTAACTGACTTGCACTGATGAATATGAACATAATATACTGACTCTCATGTTTGCAGTTTTAATACCTGTAAGTCTTCCTTAAGTTTCCCTTCTTCTCTTGGTAGGACTGGCAGCAGACGCCCACATCCTTGGTTGCACTGAAAATTTTTAAAACCTGGAGCTACTTTCTATATAGTTACTCTTTAATTATTTGGTTATAAGTTGGGATTTTTCTTTTTTTTCCTGTGTTTAATGTTAAATGCTTTCTTTTGTCAGACCCCATGTCTTGTTTACTGAAGTTATAGAAATTTATTGCGTAACATTTAATTACTGGGAAAGAGCAAAATGTGTAATGTAAACTTCAGAAGTGTATGTGCTTGTGCCATAACTTCTAAAACATCGTTGTAATGGGGACTAAAAATAACAGCATGCATTTTGTTATTGCTACTTCACTTGGTGTTTTAAAAAATTGCTGTTGACAACCTTGTAATAAAATAAGACTAACTGGGCACTTGTGTTCAGTCAGATAAGGCATTATCTACTCAAGAGACTTTTGTTCCTGTGAACATTCAGAATGTAGAGCTACTAAATTTTTAAAGGAAGGCACTACACTACTTTCAGGCTTATATGTTCTTAATAGCAGTATTACAGTTGCAAAAAAATCTTTATTTCTAGTGATGTGATCTTTATTTCTGGTGATGTGCCAGTCACTCAAAAGTTAATTTAAGTTTATTTAAATTTAATCTTTTAAGCTAAATTCGCAATGCTGGGTGAATATAAATATCCTCCTATTCAACGTAGATAACAAACCTGGGTCATAGGAAGCAGAGATAAAGCTTCTCTTAATATGTACAAACACAAAAAGCCTCAGGCTTGCCATTTAAAATTTGAAGTTAAGATTTCCTCTGAAATATTGAAGTGAAAAGTAGCTGGCAATCCTTGCAGTGGTTAGAGAATCATAAAGGTCAGGGGTAGTTCCTATTTTGTAATTACAATGAAAAATATAAAAATCTGAGATTTCAAGGAGACAGCCTAAACAGACTTGATATTTGCTGCCCTGAGGGTGAGGACAAAGCTTTCCAGATCAAAGTAACCATGTAATCCATGCACACCACCATCATACCGGAGCATTGCTCTTGTTCCTTAGTGGGACAGAGTAGGGCTTGCTCTCCCCTCTGTCTCTAGGCCCTCTAGAAGGGTTTTCACAATCAGAGTTTATTCCTAAATGGATGGGTGCAAGCTAACGGAGACCCCACAATTTCATTTTCTAACTTTAGAGGAATTAATTTTAAGCAGCCTGCTTAATAATTTTTGGAGCTCTAGCCATAATCACATAGCCTTGTTACAAATATGAAATGTGCACATTATTAGGAAGATCTAGAAATTCTTCTAGTGTGGAACAGTTATCAAAAATTGTAAGCATCCAAAAATATTTCTGCTAGGGTGCATCACATGATTTTACGCTGCCTTCAGCATGATTAAGTCTTCACAGCCATTGTAAATAACCTAAGCGCTTGTAGCTCTTGCCAAAATGCTATTCCCACATCTTCTAAATGATTTCTAGTATTAGAAGTATGAGATGGCCAGTATCACTGCTTTTAAAACAAACCAAACCACCACAAACCAAAATGAATTCACCCCCCTGCTCTTGAACTACTACAGTTCTTTTGTTCTTGGTATCTTTGTTACAGCTGTGCACTAGACACAGTGTTGAACTGTACAATGTTTAGCATATGCTGTGGGTGCAATTAGTTTTAAAGCCCTTTCCTGCATGATTTCCTTCCTGGGTTTTTTTTGGTTTTTTTTTTTTTTTTTAATTGTGAAGTCAGAGGGTTCCTGAAGCTTATTATAGTGTCACAGAAAGGGTGGGGAAAAAGAAGAAAGTCCTTACATCTTCAGCCCATACACAGGGATGATGCAAGACTGATCAGGGTCAGTTTACATATTTTGAGAAAAAAAAAAAAAAAACCAACACACAAAAGCATAACACACACTGGAGCATTCTTACTCAAAACTAGTTTTATTTTTAAAAATAAGTTGAATGCATAGCACTCACAAAGATTCCATTGTTTTGGACATTTTGCATTTAGGAGCACCATTCTTATTTATGCCATAAAAAACACATTTTGGTTCTAATAGTAAGAACAGTGTATTTTTAACGTACACTGGTAAAGCCCTTTTAAATAATATATTGAAACTGTTCAGTGTACATTTTCTCTGTAATCATTATGCAGCTGTAGTGTCAGAAAAAACTCAGACTACGTAATAAATTAAAAACAAACACCATGTAGTGGATCTTTTTACAGTTGACCTAATGTCTTACAATAGTCAAATAAAAAATACCCTATTAAATGTAAATTTGCAGTATTAACTAACTGAATAAGCCCCCCACCCATTTTAATTCCAGTGTTAAGTATTAGTTAAATTTTTATATATCAAATGCCTATGGGATAAATTTACTAATACCCCAGAAAAGAAGAGCCTATACTGCTGTGTCACAAATAAAGATGACAAGTTAGCTGATTTAAAGATTTTACAGAAAAAAAATGCTACAGGCATCTGCTGTTATTTCAAGTCATGGTCTATTACAAGACTGTACATTCATAGCATCAGAGGTAGTTAGAGCACTGAGGACTTGGATATAGCATTCCAACAAAATGAAACCGACAAAGTCCATTTCCCTCTTAAATGGATAACAATGCTGAAAAAAAAGCATGGCATCTTATGAGGTGAAAAGTCTCTACTTAACACTACCCTCAGACATGGGGAAATACTCATTAAGGGATGGAGAGGAGAGAAAAAAACCTCAAAATCAAAACAACTTGCACTTTAATTAAAGAACTGACCACCCTATGCCTATTGCAAAGTTGATTCTCCACCGTAAAGCAGAGAGGGTCATCTCTTTCATTCACCCTCCTGTCCCTCTTGACTTGCACATACATGCTACAAAAGCCCACAACAAAAATTGGGATTTATGCAAAAAAAAAAAAACAAAACAAGAGAAACAGGATTTCTTCTCCTCAATGATAAACAGGTTTTTGTAGCATGTTATCATTCAGCCCCAGAAAGAATGAACACAGCTGTCCTCCCTCCATTCTGAACATTAAGGTAAGGCCCCCTCTCCTGTGATAAAGCCTTCCTCTTAATATTGATAATGTATCTTAATTGCCCCTGCTTTCAAAACAGTCTCTGTAAGATTCATAATACTTCGGTGTCATTAGATGGTACACAATTTTACATGCTGCCACTAAGACAGGGAAGAAGGAGGTGGTAAAAGAACAAATAAACAAAAAAAGCCTTAAGCCCACATACTATAAAGATATTTTAGAGTAGGAAGAATCCTGTCATCCATACCTCTTCCTCCCATATTCTACCACAGGAGAAAATCAGGTATCTTCTTGTATTTAAAAAAAAATCCTCCATTAATATCTCTACCACCATTTTCATCCAAGAGTTGGACAAGTGAAGCTTTCTACCCTCAAGACTATCCACTCCACAGGACACAGTGTAATTCCATAAAGTTATGTAATTAGCACCTTAATTGTGATAAAGCAGTTGACTCTGCAATATATTTTGATCCACCCGTTTAGAAGAGTAAATCTCTGCATTTTCTTCTAGAACTCCCAAATAGTAGAAGAAAAAGTTGCCCCACCATTACCTGAGAATTTCCCTCCACTATAAGCCTGACAGAACTGGATTTCTATAAGCATTTAACTGTACTTTTGTTGTATGAGTGATACTGTCAGTACAATCGGAGGATGCTTTCTGTTGGTTAATAATACATGTGTGTTTGTGTGTGTGTACACAGAGGAATCATAGCCACTGTAGTAGTTCTGGTACAGTACGAGTTCAGCTGAAACTTTCTCTTTTCTTCAATTACTCAATACCATGCTGCTGGGCAGTAGTTTCCATCCACATTCAGTGAACGCTATAACATGTCCCTTTGGTACTCTGCATATAGATGCCCTGAAGAAAAGCCACTCCACTTGCTATAGTCTCTTCCCTCTCTACCTTCCTCCCTCAAGTTATACCCAATTAAGTGTACAAACCAGCAGCACAGAGTAATGAGTAGAAAATTCCCTGAGTTAGTAGTATGAAAGAGTTACTTTAAACATAAAAAGGATAGGAAGGAGAAAAGAAGCAAAAACATAGTGTCTATTCTGTGAGGTACAAAACTTAAAAACTAGCCAAAATACCAGTTAACTCAAATGCCTTAGCCTAAAGCAAATATCCAACACAAGTGCTGAAAAAGGGGCAAGAGTATGGAGTTAGCCAGATGAGATTTGTTTCTTCCTGTGGTCCCCATGTATCTGGAGAAGTCTGGCATTCAACGGATTCTTAAGTTTCAGTAAATTTAAAGTAAGCATTAATACTGTACGGTGGTATTACATAAATGTCTTCAAAATAATACTGCTTATCTCCTTCATTAAAAGGTAAGTCTGTAGTTAGTCCACAGCTATTTCTCCTTTGACTAGTATTTCAAAGATGTGCGTTAGAAGCACAGAATATTCTGAGTGTCAAAGTAAGAACTTATTATATTCCCCCAGGTATACACATTCTTTTTAAAAGGCGTTCTGTGTGCTTGTTCTTTGCAGTCTGTATTTGAGCTATGGTACTGGGTGCCAATCCAGTTGCTTTTTTCTGGAAAGACACTTTTTCTTTTATTCAATTTGTTGCCCTCAAACTTACTTGAGGTTTAACAAAAAAACAACCAACCAACCAACCAATTCCCCTCAACACAACTTCCCATCCCAAACAAACAAGCACAAAACCATTTTGTACTTATCACCTCTCAAAGCAGGGAGTAATACAGGAATATCGTCCATTCACTTGATAACTCCGGTTGTAGGAGACACTTATACATGGCTTCACTTCTAGCGGAACAGCTAGTGACACTGCAGCACCAGTCTGTACGTGGCCTCGAGCCTGAACATTAGACTGTAAGGCAGCAGGGCAAGTCTGAAGTGGGTAAGATGCTGTATGATTAGATGATAGTATCTGTTGACAGTTTTGCTGCTGTGATGTCTGATGGTGATACTGTAATGAAGACTGATGAGCTTGGAGGTACTGTGGTATGTGCTGTTGGGCATTAGCCTGCTGGGGAGTTGGAGCTGGGGTCTGAAATACAGTATGTTGGGCAGACTGAGCATGTTGTCCTTTTTGCTTGTTTGCTTCCTTCACATCATTATCATGCGCGCTAAAAGAAATTGAGAAGGCAGAATACATGAAAGTAGATATTAAGATAATTTAAACACTTTTGGGTTAACTTTTAAGAGCACTCTAAAAAAATGGTGCAATTTTGAAAGCTTTCAAAAAAAGAAAGAGAAAATAATTTTAGCCTACCCTTTAAAAACACCTAAGTTTTTAAAATTTGTTTCTTTAGGATACCGTTTTCTTTTCAGCATTTCACATCATTACATAGCAATACAAAATGCAGATAAAAGCCAAGTACAATACAAATAATACAGCAGTATCTAAAAATACCAGTCTACTAGTGTACTGCAATAAAGTGCCAGATTACCAGAACCTGAAATTAAAACTTGCTTGCTGCTTCCACCTCATTCAAATTGAGTAACAGAGTATAGGGTTTTTAAGAGTGTTTCTTAAAGATCTACATTACAGGACTTGAAGATCAATTGAGTAACAGAGTATAGGGTTTTTAAAGACATGATATCAGAGTGTTTCTTAAAGATCTACTATGTATATTGATATTGCATCCTGTTCTGGGTAGTGGAAATGCATTTTTTTTCCCTTCCTCTCACCTTTTTTCTAGCCCACCCAGACTTAAGTTAAACAGTTTAGCTCACCTGAATTCCCTTTGAATTACACCTGTTTGAAATGAATTTAGACATGCTGTTTCTCTTGCTCTTACGGTGAGGTTAAGCAGGTGCTACCTACACACTTCAGTCAGGCCTAAAATCATCTTAAGTTTTTTGCTACTGCCTATACAGGGCAGATCTCTTGAAGACAGCTGGGGTTCCACCCCTCACCAGTTTTTCCTAAAAGATTGCTAACTTTTTATGGTGCACTGCAAAGATGACTGAAAGGCTTCACCTCTGAAGTGTTCCAGAGCGATACTGAAAACACTTCTGCAACAGCACTTGCATGCTTTAGGTATTACTCCTTTCATTACACACATTAGTGAAGCCAAAAGAGGACATTATCAGGGTGATAACGTCACACTTATAAGGGAGATGCGATTCCTCCAGATACAGCTGCTCCTATGCTTCTACGAACACAACTGCGTTTAGATCTGGGCAAAGGCCAACTTCAGTAGGAAGAAAGCAGTTACAGTGGGCATAGGTTTTGATCTTAAGGTTTAGAATAAAAGAACTGATTGTGTAATATCCCTTCCCAGTAAGGTTCACTTGGCATTCATTGGCATTTTTATCTTATGTCAGCTGTATCTCTCCACTGTAGTGCAAAAATAGATACAGTAAAAATAGATACAACCTCCCAGACATTTCCTCCCCCCAAAGCTGGCTACTCAAACAGTCTGCATGTTTGATCCATAATCTGCTGGAGCATCCCTTGAACGTTCAAGGCATAGTGTCTTCAGAGTAAGTAGGAGCTCCTAGGTGTTCAGTACTCTTCACTGTCTCTTTTTGCTCTCTCAGCAGACTAGCTATTGGGAACAAGCTATTTAACAGTTTCGTAAAGCATGCCAGAAGATGTTCAGTGGAAATGCAAGGCTGAGGTTTGTTTGTTGAAAGAACAGGAAAGAGGTTAGATCTGATAAGGTTTTCTTTTTTGGAAAGAACAAAACAGTTATTACCTAACAATATTACCTAAGTATTTTTGGAATAGAAAAATGGAAATTCAAAAAGAAATTTACTTTCAGTGCTAACAGCAATTAAGCATACCAACAGATGTGGAAATGGGCTTAAAAAAAGCTGCTGTTGTTAACTTACATTAATAGTCGCTCTATACACGGCACTAGGAAATCCCAGGAGTACGCAGTAAGATGATGCAGTCGGGTAGGCCATGTTGGTGAGAGACGCAAGATAATCCTTGAAGAAGCTACACACGCAGTAGCAACTAAAGAAGGGGCATAACTTAAAAATGCATGATCTAGAAAGAAGGAATAAGAAAAAGATTCATTTAAGTTGGACACAGTCTATCAAGACAACAGAGGAATCATTACCTGAAATATGTAACTCACCTTGTAGTGATACTTCCAGAAAGTAATCAGCATATTTTGCCATATATAACTTAGTCTTCTCTAAGCAAACCATTGGCCAGCCATCATGAAGATCAGTCTCATGGACAGCAATAGAAAGATAATAGTCGATGAAATGAGCAGCAGTTGGGAGGCACAAATTCCACTGAAATGTTTCTAGCAACAACAACTCCATATGAAGCAAATTCTGTTTTGTTAGTACCAAATTCATGTTAGTCATACAACCCAAGCTGTTCAACTGTTCAAGTTTGGGAACACTGTCTTCCTTTTCTTCAAATTTACCTTCAGATGAAAAGGTTCAGCACGAGTGAACTATAAAACAGATTGTATCTAATGTCTGCGTTGGTCATATTTCAGTTCTGCTATGTCAAACAAGCTTGAGACTTTCCTGCAGATGCAAAGCTCAGATGGAAGATGTCATCAGAGACAGAAAGGAGTATGTACTATAAAGGGCTAAATTTCAGCAGGTAATGTCAAACACCATATAGGATATTGTGCAGTGCTATGTTTCGTGTTGGTTTTCCCACCCCAGTACACAGAAGCTGGTTGCCAAGAAAAGAAGTACTCTGTATTAGGACATCACTGGCACTGCATACACAAGTTTTTGTCACCAAACTATTGTATAATGTGTCCCCATCATCAATGAAATACCACTGCGATGTGACTTGGCATACACAACATCACAGCATTTGGCTTTAATCACCCTCACAGAATCACAGAGTGGTCAGGGTTGGAAGGGACTTCTGGAGATCATATAGTCCAACATCCAACACCAGTTTTGTTTTGAAAACTCTATAGAGTATAGCTAGAACTCTAGCTAACGTGGTTGCTTTTAATGCCTGTTAAGGTAGGTATGGTTTTAGATTTGATATCTGGTAAGCTGCTCCAGCAGTTCAAACAAGTGGATTTCAGCAACATGCACGGGAAAACCCACACTGCCATGTATACTGTTTCAACTTTAACACTGCTAGTAGCTTCAGCCTTCCTTGGACTTTAACTCGTCAGGCCTGTATGTTTTTAGCCTGAAGCAAAATTGTGTAGGTAGGAAACCCATTAATAAGAGAAACAAGTGTCACATTTCCATGCAGTTTGCCATATGGTTGTGCTATTTCAATTTCATTGCAAATTCTTTCCATATTACACTCTCTGTTCAGTACTACATGATATATTGTAAATGCACATTTTTAGAGAGTTTTGCAGGACTAAACATACTGAACATTTGCCTTTTTTCCAGTGGTGGAGGTACTTATACAGGACTTAATCCAACACCAGTCCCAGTCTGTTAGTTTTTGTTTCTCATACTCTACTAAATTACTGAAATAAAAGCTTCAGGAGTCACATAATCATTTCTCTTATTACTTGTATAACCTTATCAGATATATCACAGTGTGATTTGTCCAACTTATTGCACCGCTGATTAAACTGCTTGCTTAAGCCACACAGGGAAAAAGTTTAAAACAGCACTCTGTTTTGTGCTTTCTGAACCCATGCATACACTGCTTCTCAGAACAGTGAGTACTACAGGCTATCAGAGGTGTACTTGCAGCTTGTCATGAAAGACGGCAAAGGTGATTAAAAAAAAAAATATTAAAAATACAATTCTCTTCAGAACATGAATTTAATTTGAAAATCTGGCATTAGCTCAAAGCCAATCCATTTTCCTAAATGGATTACCCTGGGTTCTGAGGCAAGGTTTTCATACTCAGCACCTCATCCCCTGCTAAACGATGATTGCTGGCTGGTGGCATCCACTTAAAGTTTACCCCTAGAAGAATCTGAAATAACCCTTTTCTTGTTTAACTGTTCTGCTGAATAGCTGTGTTGGTGGAGACAGGGGATGCAACGAAAGGAAGCAGTATACCAAAAATAGCCACCACCTCAGCACTCTGGTTTTCTAGTGAAGAGGGCCTAGAGCTACAATGTGATATACCTTATCTGAGAAAATTAAAATAGATTCAGAGAAACAGATCAGCAGAAACCAAACCAACAGTTAGTTCTGCTGCCAGGACCTGTTTCTCTGAATCTATTGGTTTAGGATCAAGTGCATCCCAGCAAACTACATCCACATTACTTTGGAGATATCTAAAATGGGTCTACAAATGTTGAAAGATGAATAAATGCCACAAGAATCTAGCCAGGGTCAATATATGCAGCACTGTTCATAATGAGTGTTTGTAATTAATTCTGTCTTCAGAGTACTGTGCATTCAGCAATGTATTTCACCAGTATTACATTTTGTAGGTGATAATACAGGACTTATGTTAGCCTAAGCTTGTTTAAAGTACATTGCAATTTATGAAATCTGAAGTATTCCAGAACCACACAGCACCGTTAGCAAGGTGCAGTGCAGTCTACAGATGGTTTGGTTTTTTTTTTTCCTTTATCACAGGTATGCAAATTTCTCATTTCCAGCACTTGATCTACCTATTTTGAGATGTCCTTAGAAAGACAGTCTTTCTATTTCTACAACACAGCTCAGAAAGTTCACCTTAGAATAATTTATTTCCAAGCATAAACATTAGTTTTTAATCGGTTTGTTTTTTCTTCCCTCAGCTTCATCACGTGCCAACAGAAGTCAAAACAAGAGCCTAAAGAAAGGCTCTACCGATCGGGCCAAATTGATATACACTAATCCACCTGTCTTTTAGAACCGCTTTGTTTCCCCTATCTGCTATATCCCATCGAGACACGCCTTGTATTTGGCAGTAAAACCTATATGGCTCTAGTTAAGTTTGGTGCTACATACTTACTTGCTAAAAGTAAACAGGAAAGAGCAACCACATGCAGCTGCTGTATAGATATGTCATAACGATCCATAAAGAGGTCCAACAGATACACAGCTAGATGTCGTGCAGCAGGACAAAGTCTGAACCGATTGCTCACAATGGCAATCAGATCTGCAAAGTATCTTCTCAGATGTAACTGGGGAGATTGGCCTTTGTAGGAGGGCAGCTTCAGCTCCTAGATAGACAGCAGCATGTAATTTTATTAAAACCATGAATAATTGAATTGGTATCAGATTAGTATAGCCGATATTCTAAAATTTATCATGGAATTTTCAAAGGATTTCTCCCCTCTTCCTTATGATCCCATTGTTTCATCACCCCTTTTCACAGAACAAGATCTAGTTGTTATATTACAGAAGAACTAGAAAATAATTTGGTCCTGCACAACATTAGTATAATAATTCAAAATTTAACATCTTTCAATTGGGCAATCGGCTAGAGTGACTTTAGCTTTTACCATTTCTGTTGTATTACCTCTGCTGCAAAGGCTGTACCTCCCAGCAGGGAAACAGCAAGGGTACGTGAGTGCTCCTCAGCTGCTTCAATGCAAAGTCCAATAGCTTAACTCAACCCCCTCCTGCTACGGCTCAATCTGAGCAATCAGACTTTGTACTGAAGTGTTTGCAAGTTCCAATGCTGCCAGATCTCCTGCAGGTACCTCCAAAAGAGGGGCACTAACAGCTAGCTGAAGGTAGCAATGCTGGGAAGAGGAACGGGGTGTGCATGTGTCAACATTCGCTGCATACATGTGTTTAAACCCTGGCTTAGTCTGATCTGATTGACATTGCACTGACACTGATTACAGTGTGCTTTCAGGCATTTAGTTAAATATCATACGGTCTCAGATTTGGGGACACACACCCCACAACACAAAAGCTCTACCAACACCACGGATGAGAAAAATCTGTGGCACAATCTATTTTGAACACAAAATTTGGACTGGTAGAAAGAACGTTCCCCAGGCTCCCTCCTAGTAGCTAGTATCTCCTTTTGTATACAGCAGAACAGCAGTGCTGTCTTCTGTTATCATGAATAAATTTATGAGTTAGATTGTGCAGCCTACTTGGTGTAAGTAAGATTTTGAGTACAGTTAAATTTCCAGTAGGAGAGTCTGATGACATCAAGTTTGAATGGAGCTGCCAAAAAATTTCAAAGTTTTAAGGACAATTCAAAGTTCTGAAACATGCTATTGAAGTGAAAAAAAACCCCCAACAAACACACACACCATCCCCCTACCTCCTAAGCTCTAGAATTCACCTTTCACAACACTTAGTTTTAATAATGGTAACTTTAGTCGCAAATAAACAATCCTGTCCTTTTGTGCTCCCCCCCACCCCTGGAAAAAAAAAAGAGCTGCTTTAGCAGTCACACCTTCAAGAAAGATAACCCACTGATCAAGGCAGAAAAGCACATTTTTAGTAGTTTTAGTCACTGTAAACCAATTTTCAGCTCTGGGCATAAGATGTGCTTTATTATGAAAGTAGCCCCAAAGAGCAACTTTGAGTCAATCGAAGCAACTTCAAAGCAGTATTGCCTAAACCCTCTACTATTCTTACTGCACCTAGTGTTTGGTTGGGTTTTTTGTTTTGGTTTGGTTTTGGGTGTTTTTGTTACAATAGCATCACAACGCTTTCTGCAAAGTTTTAACCGGGACCCAGTTACACATCCAAAGAGAAGAACCGAGCGCACCGTGAGCCCTTTGCCTTTTTAACGTGCCGAGAACAGCCAGGTCAGCCCGAGGAACTGTCAAGGCTGCGGACGGACAGCCTGCGCGGTACCCCAGGGCACGACACCCTGTTTATCGAGGCTTAGAAAAGCAAACTCCTCCAAACCCCCGCCGGGCCGAGCCCGCCCAGCGCCGGCCG